AATCATCAGTCAGATTGCACCGCTTCCTGATGTGATTCAGCTTTGGACAATGCCCGGTTCTAAATCTCACAAGGGTCGTTCTATCTAGCCGAATCATTTTCTTTTCTTCATCCCAGTTGATGGGGACCGTATACGTTCTTCGGCTGAGCCTATGTAGTTATGCTCTGAAGATAGAAGCCCCTCTTCGCCTGATTGCGAACGTACTATGCACAGCTTTCTCTTTGCCTAAGTCAACTTCGAATGCGTTACTCCGCCGTTACCTAGGTAAACAGAAGTTACCTTTTGAGAGGCGGGTCGGGATTCTGAAGCAGAAGAAGATGCGATCACTGGAACGAGTGTTTTAGTTTCCTGACGTTTCGGATTTCGTCGGGACTCCTTAATCGTAGGTAATGGTAGGATAATCGGAACCATGCACAGATAGGGGTGAAGCATGCACAGATTGGACGGTATTTATAGTTCGTATCGGTCATCCGCATGCGTAGTATAATTATCCGTCCGTCTCCTGTAGTCACCGTTTGGGGTCTTAATTGGTGCGGTGATGGCTTGACCTTTCGCGTCCGAGTCATTAATAGCCGTGATTTCCTTGTCCGTGTTGGATGTGGGCTTGGTAATTGCGCGCGGATGACCGCAATGAACTCTAAATACCGTGCAATCTGCGCATGGCTCCGGATATCCTACCATTACTTATGATTAAGGAGTCCTGACAGAATCCGAAACGTCAGGAAAATAAAACACTCGTTCCAGTGGTCGCATCTTCTTCTGAACTGCTTCCTGGTACTCGCATATTCACTTCCATTGGGTCGGGATTCTCTTGTGCGGCGTCAGTTTTAAACAAAAGTTTCCCTATTTCTTGAAATGTTAACCGAAATTTCGAAAGTTATTTTCGATTTGAATATGTTACTCAAGTAGGGTTGTAATACTGAATATCGTACAGGCTAATCTCAGGATACTTCAGTCATGCTTTTGAAAGAGCTTCTTTTTGGCTGCTTCCAAAAAGTATATTCTTTAAAGCATGGCTTCCTAAGTGATATGCGTTTTGTCTCGTTGAATTTCACTGCCCTTATAAATTCCAATAAATGTTGTTGGAAACGGTCATCAAAATATTATTTCACGTACTCAGTTGTTAGCAAACTACACCTCCAAATTTTATGCTTGAAAAAAGGTATCTTTCGGTTTTAAAACATTGTCTAACTATGAGACCTTTAATTACCTTGAAATGTTCTTTCATTATTGATTAGTGTTGTCTTTAACGTATACAACAGTATCCACATCAGTTGCAAAAGGTATGAGTACTGTTTGACCTCTTTGTCACCCCATAGGGCAATATGTACTTTTCCATATGTACAGCGGCATGGAAACCTTGAGTGCGAGTTTGACGGCCGGGAGGGTTCTCAGTTATTTGGCAATCTAGAAACTTTTTTAAAACCGAAAAAAAATACTTCTTAATATAAAATTTGACGAAGGCGTAGTGTTCTACCAACTGAGTACAGGGAATAATATTTTCGTGGATGTTTCCTATAGGATATGCTTGGACGTATAAGGGTATCGAAAATCAGTAATAAAAGTACGTATTTCTTAAGTAGCCATTTTTACCTAGTATACTTTTTACAAGCGGTCAGAAAAGACTACGATCAAAACCGGCATCCTGGCGCGACTAAAATATCTTCTGATTGTCCTGCAAGGTACTCACAGTAACAACTTTATCCAAATAATTTGTTCGAATCAAAAAACACTTTACAATTTTAATTGACGTTTCATTTGATAGGAAGTATGCTGTAGCTATCGGCATCGCCTGAAACATCTTGTTATGCACCAAATATTTGCAAAGTTTTATGAATTTTCCAAAGAATATGGATTGTCGCAGGCGATCGCAGTTATACCAGCTCTGGCAGTTAACCATTTTTGCTTTGTTAAATAGGCACAAATCATCGAATAAAACAGAATGGTGACGTAACCGATCATATAGCTGATGACCTTTGAGAGATCCGTGCTAAGCGAACGGGAACTCTGTACGAATCAGGATAAAACGGTTGTCTCCTTAACCGTGAGGATCATCAGTATTCTGCAGGAATAGGACTGAACGACACACGTTTTGTTTTAGTTGTTTCGCGAAGTCAAGTTCAACTTAGGTTCATTGGCCGACAGAGAAAATTGACGTTTACGTGTGACATGTATTTTCCATCCACTTTCGTCACTTTCCGGCACATCGCCGTTTCTAGTTCACCATTGGAACTGCGCCTAACGACTGTATCAAGGAAGGATATCTGCTGCTCCTTTTCTTTCGAGGGGATTTAATTGCAGCAT